ACATGAGTTGAAGGGTACATGTAGAAGAGTTTGCTTTGGCAAGGAAAAGGGACACCTCTTTATCAGAGACTGAAAGGAGGAAAAAGTGACATTAGGGGGGTTCTAAGAATGAAGAGAAGGGGAAAGGAAAGAGCATCACTGTGAATGTTCTCAATTTTCTCAGAAAAGTTAGCAGCAGATCCTCTGCAGAAAAAGGGCAAGAAAAGGCATAGGAGGCATGAGGAGAGAAGAGACATTGGAATATTCAGCTTCTGTGGCAGTGAAACAAAAAAATCACTAAGAGAGGAATAAAAGGATTGCCTTGATGCAGCGAGGGACCACTTGAAGTTGGACAGCAATCAATTTGTACGAAAAAGCACTCTGAAAACTCTACAGTAGTACGAAAATGTTGGCTATTGTTATTTTTATTAGAGGGAAAAGAGCCTATGATTGATTCAACGGTTCTCAAAGCATGACCCACTGGCTGCTCTCTTTTAGGACTAATGTTCATACGTGTCCGTATTTTAATTCATGACTTTCGTTGTTCAGTCATTTCAGTCGTGTCCAACTCTTTGTGACCCCATTTTGGGGTTTTCCTGGCAAAGATACTGGAATGGTTTGCCTTTCCTTCTCCAATTCATTTTACAATGAGAAAACTGAGGCAAACCAGGATAAATGACTTGCCCAGGGTCACAGAGCCAGTAAGTGTCTGAGGCTAGATTTGAACTCATGAAGATGAGTCTTCCTAATTCTCAGCCCAGTGCTCTATCCACTGTGCCATCAAGATACCCCTGAGTTCATGACGTGGATAACACGTTTAACGTAGACCAGACAACACTTCATTGGTGTTTCACTGAAAGCTGCACCATTTTACCCATTAATGCTGGGAAGCTGCTAATTATGAGAAAAGATAAGAATCTAGCTGACAATGACCGAGCAAACAAGAGTTTTAGGCTTTGCCAATGACTGTGATGCAACGTACAAACAAGGTAAGATACATCTCTGCGCCTCAGTTTTCCTCTCCAAAAATGAGACAGTGACACTTTCTTCCCAGAAGGGTGTCAGTACTAAGGCAACATTATGTAAACTACTTTGCTGCCTAAAGAAACATGTCTTCAAGCCAGTACCAATATCCATTTTCCCAAATGGGGAGATGGACAGTAGAGGTAAGAGGCTGGTGGAGAAATATGGGGTGGGGGGGGCCCCCGGGGGCAGGTAATCCTAAATAGACAGTGCTTACCATATGCAAAAAGGCAGAAAACAAAAGAAAGAATAGAGTACAAGAAGTGCTTAGATGACGTGCTGTGGTCACCACCAGTTCCATGATTCCCATTTTAGGAAATTGTTTAATGATTTAATGGCACTGCTTTTTCTTCTTCCTTTTTCCAAGTGTCTTAGCTCTCTTAAGTACTCGACAAAAGCAGTGGAGTTCACATTTATATGACATTTCAAGGATTATTGCTCACTTTTTTCTTACAATATTCCTGTTAAATGTACAGGGAAAGCTTCACATCCCAATTCTATAGAGGAAGCACTGCTATTTTGAGGAGTTAAAGTGATCTGCCTGACCAGGTATGGACAGCTTACAAGTGACAAGACCAGAATTGGAACCCAGGTCTCGAGACTCCACAGCCAGTGTTCTTTCTATGACACCACACATCTCTTCAATTTACCTAATAAAAAAATGCATCATACATTTGAGACCACTATAATTAAGCTAATAAATGAATGGTATACTTCCCAGTAGTAGCATCAGGTCTCCAGGTACCTCCTGAGAAAGTTCAGTTATATTAAAAAGGGAGGCAACGTGGCAGAGTAGACAGAGCACTAGCCTGAGAGGCAGGAACCTGGATTTAAATCCCATCTTTGACACTTACTCTGTGACCTCAGGAAACTCATTAATTTCTCTCAGTCTCCATTTCCTCATCTGAAAAGTGAGATAAAAATATGTATGCTTTCCACTTCACAGGACTGTTGTGGTAAAAGCATTTTGTAAACCTTAAAGCACTCCACTAACATGAGCTATTGGAAAAAAAAAACCTGCATACACACATACGCCACTGGTCAAAACTCATTTCCTCTCTTCCCTTTCTAAAAGGAAATTGTTCACTTTTTTGCAGGAATCCTTTATATATCAAAGGCAAAAGAATAATCATTTTTTGGTGGTGCTAAAATGATCGACATTAGTCCCAAAGTCTGGATGCAATCACAGATTTCAGCAAACAATCTGAACCTAAGGAATCTTAAAGATAATATCTTTCCACTTTCGCAGATAAAGTAGGTGGAGAGGGGAATGAATTGGAATAGAAAAACCAGGAATCGAATCCACTTCTTTTGATTCCAGACTCCTTCCAACCATACCGTACTTCCTTCTGTCAACTTTCAAGCGATCACTTTCAGTAGCTGAGGATTTGACGAACAATTCCAAGCTCACTCTATTCCCACACTTCATAAATTTTTACACTTAGATGGTAACTCCTCTCTGCCTAGAGTTTCAACTTTTTTTCTCCTAATCATTAGATGCTTCTGCCATGTTTCTTACCTTCTCAAGAATCTTCAGTGTTTCTACTGCCTCTAGAATAAAATACAAAATCTTTAGCTTAAGAACTACAATCCTTTTCAATTTAGATACGGCCTACTTTTCCAGGCACACTACCTATTCATTTTCAGTTCCCCAAATTCAATAGTCAATTTCTTGCTGTGACCAAAATCTGGCACTCCATCTTCTGCCTCCATGACTTTGCACTGCATCTATTCCCTGTGCCTGAGATACAGCCCCTCCTTACTTCTGCCTCTTACAATTTCTAGTTTCCTTCCAGGCTAACGTATCATTTCCTACGGAGCAGTCAGATGGTACAGCAGCTAGAGCACCAGCACTGGAGTCAGCGGGTCCTGAATTCAAATCCAGCCTCCGACACTTAGAAGCTGTGTCCCTGAGCAAGTCATTTAACCTCATTTGCCTCAGTTCTCATCTGTAAAATGAGCTATAAAAGGAAACAGCAAACCACTCCGGTATCTTCGCCAAGAAAACCCCAAGTGGGGTCACAGAGAGCTGGGCGCCACTGAAACGTTTCAACGACAACAAATCATCTCCTGTAGTAGTCGGCAGTTTTTCTGAACACCCTAATTGTTAGTGCTCCCCTACTCCTCTGGAACTGCTGCCAAACCCTCAGCCATTTCAACGCTGTATCCCCTCATTTTGCCTATGTTTTTCTAGTACCTTGTACGTAGCAGTTATTTGATAAATGTGAGTTGGATTGGATAACTCTGGAGATAAACAGCTTGAAAGCTGCACAAATCAGTAACTAAAGAGGGAATTCACTCATTCTTTCAACAAATATTTATCAACTGCTATGTATTTATCATTATGCTAGAAACCTTGGTAGATACATATAAAAGTGAGAGTAGTAAAGGCATGATATTTATCCTGTGGGAACTACTGATCTGGGAGGTTTTATTTTGGTTTTTTCCTAATTTTTTAACAAAAAGTTAAAGAATAAAAAGTAATATATGAATAAATTTCAAGCAAATAGTACAAACAGAAAGTGCTACAGTTCAGAAGAAGAAGAGATCACCCTGGGCTAAAGTGCTTGGAGAAGGCTGTATGTGAAGTTAGGCCTTGAAGGACAGGCATGATTTAGACAAGAAAGAAGGGGGAGGGTATTTCAGAAAAGGGCAAGTACAATCTGAGCAATCATAAAGACAGTAATGAGCAAGGGTTAGTCAAAGGTCAATGGGGAGACCTCCTTCCTTGAAGCACAGGGTTTTTGTTGAGGAGAGATAAAGCTAGAAAATTAGGTTGGACTTGGATCAAAGAGGTCTTTGAATGCCAGATTAGGAAGCACATTCAACAGGTAAACTCTTAAGGCTATGGTGACAAGGAATTTAAATCATTGACCTCACAGATAAGTTTTTTGATAACTTTTCTTTGGACTAGAAACAAAAATAAAATATACTAGGATAGAACTTAAATTTTATTGGCATTCATCTGAGATAACCTTCATAAATCACCCCACTGCTTCCTCAAGTGTGTTAGAATCATCTTAAACTAAAAACACTTTTAAAACCACACCTTTTCACAAACTGTTTTTTTCCTCCTGTATCCTTTTAATATATAAATTTATAAACCTAGATATTATAAAAATCTAAGTATTATTCAGAAGTAAATCTTTGGTCAACACCCACAAGGCACAGTGGGTCAGATCCTCCTAAAGGTGTATGAATCAAGTACTTTTATAAAAGGTATATTAAATCCCTCAAACCACTGCAGTATCACTTCAAATTAGCATAATTAGATAACATGAATGTGATAGTTACCATGCCTTCTTGGGTACCAATGAAAGCACTAATTCTACAGAAATCTACCACTGAAATAAACACTGAGAGTAGTTAAATGGTTGTTTATGTCATGAAGTGGCCAATATGTTGATTACTTTTTCTTCACTCTACTTGTGACAACTGAAAAGAAAGACTAAATAAAACTTGTTTTTTAAAATCATGACAGTCTCTCAGTTCAGTGACTACAAAACTGATAAATCACAAAGGAAGAATTGTAGTTACATTCCCTGAATTAGAATTTTGTTAAAAGCTTAAAGATGTTTTCTTTCTCCACAATGAAGAGAAAAAAATAAATAAAATAAGATATCCAAAATTTGGAATATTTGTTCAAATAAAGACTTGAAACTTTCAATGATCCTCCTCCTAGCCTTTTCTTTAAAAATACACATTCATATGCACGCACAGACGTGTACATACACACACATCCACATCCACACATGGTCCTGGAAACCCTGGTTTCAAATATAAAGTTATTAATCTTTTATTACTTTTATGATATAAGAAGCTATGGATTTCATCCTCACACAATGCACTTCAGATATCACATTGACTAGTTTCGCTTAGAGACAGAGAAGGTTGTATCTAATTTCTAGAAGCAACCTCCATCGCTTAGACAATAAACACCTGTAGGTAACTATGGAAGGAGCTGAAAAGTGTCCAAGATGTGAAAAAAAAAAACTCACCATTCTAACTACTTCAGGGTAAGTCTGCTCTGTCAAACAGCCTCTGCTTATTGTAATGTAGTCCACCAGTTCATTAAGAGTGGAGCGCTTGTATTCTTTCATTTTAAGATCTGATAGCGTGTCCATGAAGTCAAAAATTACACAGCACTGCTGAAGTTTCTTTAGGAACAGTTCAGGCTGCTCTGAGGATGGAACGTCTAAGAAACAAAAAAGGAAATGTAAGTCTGTCATCAATTTCTAGGTAACAGGAATTCTCTGTTAAAGTCAGTTATTTCAAAAGAAAGCTCAAAATAGAGTTTACATGAAACAGTGGTTCTGTAGTGTTAAAAAAAAAACAATTAGACATTTATGGGACATCTTATCTATTATGTGATTTATAATTTCGGCAACAATATTGTACCAAAAACAAATTTATATCATTTGCTATTGAAAAATAAAAAATTTAACAAACTCCTAAGAGAAATTAGAATGTTTTAATAAATTTCAACCAAATATTTACATCTTCATCCCCAATGCCCAAATTCTAACATGGGTTATATAAATTGAACAACTCAAGCTTCCGAATATACAGTGGAGCAAGAAAGTTTCACTGTTGTTTTAAAATTAGTCTAACTAAAAAAAAAAAATTTAAAGCAAAAACATTGGTCCATTCATGTTAATCCTTGCTTATATCCTTGGTATTTAAATAAACTGTTTTTTGGCTTGTAGCCTAAGAAAGTTAGATTTCAAAAAGCCAACAGGTTGAAACAATCATAATCCAAAAGGAAAAAAGTTAGCCAGGGAAAGCTTGTATACTTGACAAAGATTCTAAACATTACACAGAAGTTTCAGGTTAATCAAATTCTACACACAAAAAAGGAATCTGGTGCTCTATAAAACAAATCGGCTTCCAAGAAAGGCTGACAAAATTGCTGCTGTCAAATTTATAAATTTAACTCATTAATACTAAAATCATCTCTCAAAAATATGCAGATGGTATTAGCATTATTATTATTCTCCCCTTTACAAGTGGAAAATTAAAGTGTCATTAAGATCACATAATGAACCAAATCTTTAACCACTTGACCATATTCCCTCTGCATTACATATAGAAGGACTCTAATATTCTATTTTCAGCCACTTTTAACCATTCTCTCAGTCCTTGGTCATGCCCATTTTACAGTAATCACACAGAACGAGGCCATCTATTTGTTCATGGATAGTAAGAAGAATATGTCAATGGACCACTTCTGTCTTTGCTACCATCAACACCATTATACAAAAAAAAGGGGGGGGAAGCAAGAAAAAAATTTATAAAAAGAGGAATTCCATTTGTAAGAATGAATACCTTCAAAAAACATGAAGAATTAACCTACCTAGAAATACATATGACCAATATAAAGCCAACTATAAAACTATCATGATTGAAATCAAGGAAGCCCTAAACAATACTGGAGGAGCATTCAGTGTTCATGGATGGGTCACATTAACAAAGTAAAAAATGACCACTCCCTAAGTAATCTAACATATTAATGCAATACCAATCAAAACACCAAGGGGCTTCATCATAGAACAGGATAAAATTATAATAAAATGTATATTTTTTAAAAATCAAAGAGTAAAAACTAGAAAGAGAAATTAAATTCAAAATAACTAGAGAAGGAAAAAATATTTAGGAGTATATGTACCAAGACTCACCTAAGAAACATATGAATCCATGTATAAAACACTCTTTACAGAAATACAGACCTAAGTAATTAGGGAAATATTGATTGCTCATGGGTAGATGAACCCAGTATAATAAAACAATGATACTCCCTAAATTAATTTAATTCACTGACATGTCAAACAACCAAATGATTCTTTTATAGAGCTAAAATTAATTATGGAAGAAAAAAAGGTCATGAAAGGTAATAATAAAAAAATGGAAAGAAAGAGGGTCTAGCAGTAGCAGATCTCAAACTAAAGTCTAAAACACTAATCATCAAAAAATATAGAAGCAGATCAACAGAATAGGATAATGTTTAATAAACCCAGAGACTCCTGATACTGGGGTAAGGACTGACAAAAACTGCAGGGAAAACTAGAAAGCAGTTTGGCAGAAATTAGGTACAGATCAACATATCATACCATATGCCAAGATTAATGATATGGGGGCAGTTAGGTGGTGCAGTGGATAGAGCACCGGCCCTGAAGTCAGGAGGTCCTGAGTTCAAATCCGGCCTCAGACCAAACACTTGACACTAGCTGTGTGACCCTGGGCAAGTCACTTAACCCCAACTGCCTTAAAAAAAAAAAAAAAGAACAAGATTAATGATATGTACATACACGACTTAAATGAAAAAGGAAACACTGTAAGTCAATTATTGGCACAGGGAAAGAAGTCATGACTGAACAAGCAATAAAGAGCATCATAGAAGGTAAATGGAAATATTGATTACATATAATGAAAAAGTTTTGCACCAAGTTTCTCTGATAAAGATCTCATATCCAAAACATATGAGGAATTGATTCAAGTTCCTTAGACTAAAAGCCATTCCCCATTAGAACAAGCATTTTTCAGAGGAAGAAATCCAAGCTAAAAACAATCTTATAAAAAAAGTTCCAAGTCACTAATAGAGAAGCACAAATTAAAACAACTGTGGGGTTCCACCTCATACCCATCAGATTGGCAAAGATGACCAAAGACGAAAATGACAAATGTTAGAACTGCTGGTAACAGGCACCTGTCTGCTCTTTTGGTAGAGCTGTGAAAATGATCTAGCTATCTGAAAAGCAATTTGGAACTATGCACCATATTTGTCTTTAACCCAGAGATACAAAAATATTGATAGCCTCTCTTTTCATAAATAACCCCAAACTAGAAAACAAGAGGAAATCCGCCTATTGGGCATGGTTAAAAAAAAAACACCACTATATATAATGAGTATAATAGAATGTTATTGTGCCATAAGAAATGATGAAATGAACAGTTTCAGAGGAAAACGGGGAAGACCTGTAACAAATTAATGCAGAATGAGGGGAGCTGAACTACGAGAAAATTTATATAATAACAACATATAAAAGAAAACAACTTTGAAAGACTTTAGAACTATGATCAATACAATGATAAACCATGAATTCATCCATGAGGACTGAAGATGAAACAGGCCACCTGTTCTGGCGAGAGAGAGGATGAGTTAAAACACAGAACAGGGCAGACATTTTTGGACACAGGCCAGTGTCAGAATTTATCTTGCTTACCTATACACATTATTGAGTCTTTCTTTTCTTTTTAAGGTTCAAGAGGGGGAGGGAGGAAAGAGGCATGGCAATAGGTGGCAGAGATAAGTAATCACTAAAGTAAATAAATTGGGGAGAGAAAAGACAGAGAGGCACAGCTAGGTGAATAGAGTGCTGGCCTGGAGTCAGGAAGACCTCAGTTCAAATCCAGCCTCAGAAATTTACTAGCTGTGTGATCCTGGGCAAGCCACTTAACTCTGTCTGTCTCCATTCCTCATCCATAAAATGGGTTAGAGAAGAAAATGGCAAACCACTGCAGTATCTTTGCCAAGAAAATCCCAAAAATGGTCACAACTGAAAACGACTAAACAAAAATAAATTTTTAAAAACAAATAAGTAAGAACATAAAGCACCACAATGGGGTGAGGATGGAGGGAAACTGGTGAAGGTTGATTAGTACCTGCAAACTTTAAAATATATTACATGACTAGTTACCCTCAAAACTAATGGATATGAGGGGTTTTTTCTTCAAAAAAAGCAACAGAAAAAAAGCAACAGAGAAATAGATTGACAGAAGAAAAGAGAAATATCAGAAATGCAATCAAATAACTACAAAAAGATTAATTAACTTAGAGAATATAAAAATTGGTGAAAAAAATCATTATTAAAAAATGTAACTGGGAAAACTGGTTAGTACTAGGTGGGACATTAATTTTAGATCCATACCTCATACCATATATCTTAGTGGATTTTAGCTGCATAATGAACGTAAAACATACAAAGGAATTACATAATCAACTCGAAGAAAATGGAGTAAGATATAATCTCAATTATGGAAAGATGACTTTTTCCTATTTAAAAAATGTAATTATCAGGGATGTGATAAATGTGCAAGACAACACTATGATGATGAAAAACTCAGTCATAGCTAGTGGAACTGCTAGCCAGCTGGATCCTTTTAGAAAGCAATCAGAAAAAAAAAAACAAATTTCAATTAAATCCTACTATTTAACATTATCATTTAATTGCTGATAGTACATCTTGACAAGTCTTTATATTAAAAAGCTATATGTTCAAAAGAATTTTATAGCAACTTCTGTAATTGAGAATACGTTATAAGCCACTTCAACATTAAACAATGGGGAAATGGTTAAATAAACTGTGGCATATTAATGTAATGGAATACATAATTATCTATATTAATTGGATTAATGAGGCAAATAAATTAGGAAAGAATTTTATGAAATAACCCAAAAAAGCAGAACAGAAGGAACAAAGTATAACTAAATACAATTCCATAAAATAAAAATGAACAAAGACAACTGACAGAGTTGTGACATTTTATACAATGAAATTCACTGATTTAAAGGTAAATAATTAGAAAGCAAATTTAATTAATCTACAGATCATAGGATCATAGATGTAGAACTCAAAAGGCCCTCAGAAGCTGTACTGTCCAAGCCCCTCATTTTACTTATGAGGAAACTGAGGCCAAGAAAGGCTAAGGAGCTTGCTCAAAATCATGCAGACAGGAAGAGGCAAGACTTAAATCCATATCCTCTGACTTCACAGCCAATACTCTCTCCACTAAGTCATACTAAATTAAAGTTTAATATTAAGCTTATAAGAATTTCTTAAGTGAAGAGTTTTTAGCTCTTTATAACTCAACAGTTATACTACGCCACTGTAGAGCCCCACCCCCACATGCATACCTCTACCTTATCATTCAGTGCCAGTCAACATTATTTGGGTAAAGGAAAGTCAGGGCATAGAGACTGGTTTCATACATATAGGGAATTCCCAGGTGAGGAAACTTCTACCAATGTAGAGTGTTGGATGGGAGTCAGGAAGACCTGAGTTCAACTCCAGCCTCAGGCACTTGACACTTACTAGCTGTGTGACCTTGGGCAAGTCACTTAACTCCACTGCCTAGCCCAAAAAAATCCACAAACAATGAAAAAAAAAAGAATCAGCTAAAATCACAGCTTTACCCAGC